TTGGGGGAGGGCGGGGCTTAGGAGAGCAGGTGTTGAGGGGAGGAGGGCGAGGTGGGTGTGAGAGGGAGGGAAAGGGTGTGAGGGACTTGGAGCTAAGGCGAGGGACCCGCCTGGGAAGTGACGCCGTGTGAGGGACTCAGAGTGAGGGAAGACAAGCCCCACCCCCTTTTCTTCCGGCCCATCTCCCCCTACCCCTTTTCCAAAACCCCCTATGAGCCGGAAACTTCCCCGCCTCCAGGGAGAGCTAAGCCAACCCGGCAGCAGCCTGCCTGTGACGTCACGAGTTGTCAGGCAGACTGCCACGCCGGTCCCGAGAAGCCCGTAAAGTTCTGGCTGGGCCGGTGTCAGCAGTGGCGCTGCCACCTGTAGCCCCGCGTCCCTCGCCACCAACCCGAGGGCTCAACCCAGAGGCGGGGGTGACTGGAATAGAGACCCAGACGGAAGGGGAACCATGAAGGAGGTAGGGGAGAACTCTAATTGGCGGGAAGAGAGAAGATATCAAAATTAAACGGAACCTCAGTGCCTGCACCGCAAGCCCCTTTTTCGGCACTCAAAGCTCAGCCAGGTCTGGCTGTAACTGCCTCTTAGAACTCCAGTCTCCTCTTCCCCCTTGTTGTCGCGGTGTCTCCGAGAGCCAGCAGCCCCAGTGGAGGGGCAGGATTGCAATCCCTGACCAAGTGTCCCGGGAGGTCTACCCTGATTTCTTTTGCTTTATTTTCTTTTATTCCACATTTAGGATGACAATGATTTCTTTTGTAAAAAGTACCTTCCTTGTAGGAGGAGGCCTTGGGGAGGATGTTTTGCACGTGCCTCCCTCCTTCCCCTCCCCACTCCTTCTCTTGAGGGCAGGTCCCAGCCTAGGCTCTGCGGCCAGCCGCTGTGTGTCCCCACGTGGACTTCTTGCCTCTCTGGGTCCTTCATGCTCCTCCTCCTCCTTGATGTCAGATATCAGTGGGGAGTGGGGTGGGTTTCAGATGTGTCAAAGGCTCAATAGGGTTATAAGTACTTTTTGCGATCTTCCTCCTCCTCCTGCTCTCCCCCTTTCACTGAAGGGACAAACTGAGGCCTGGAAGTCATTTCCCCTTAGATCCCCCAGCCCACCCAGGCTCCAGGACCTGGACCTCTGGCCTCTTGGACCACAGCTGTGACTCCCCAGGGGTCCCCGTCACAGCCCCACAGTCATCCAGGCTTCAGCTCCAGCTGGGCTTACCCGGGGGGTGAGACACAAATGGTTGGGGCCCAACAGTCGGCTGACAGAAGCCACTGGGGTAAGACAGCAAGAGGAGGCAGAGACCCGGGCAGATTGGAGAAGAAATGCCACATTAGGAAGGGGCCATGTCCTGTTCCAGCCTCCCCAGAATGAAAAGCTGACCCACTGTCACCAGATCGCCCAAAGTTTTAAGTGAAGGCACAAACCTGGATTATGTAAAATCTCCCACTTTGAAAGGTAAGCTGTTAACGTGCATCCGACCCACCCACCCAAACCCCCAAATGCTGCCGTGAACTAAAGAAAACACCACCCGGGACCTAGTTTGCCGACACTGTGGAGGTGACCAGTGTGATACTCTGGTTAGAAATGACATGGGAAGCTGCCAAGATCATCCAGAAATCGGCTGAGTGGCCAGAATGATCCTCAATGTGGCCATGTGGAGGGCCCCCCAGGACAGGTAGGGTCCCCATGAGAACTATGGCTGCTGTGGGGTCCCTCAAGGGGCATATCAGATGGGGATCCTAGGGGCCCCTCAAATGTGATTGGGGAATCCCAGATATGACAAGGGCATCCCAGTGGGGGCCCAGATATGACCCAGTTCACTGAACCCCCCACCCCAGACTGGACCAGAGTGGTTTCAGAAATGACAAAGGATCCCAGAGGGGCCCTAGATGTGATTGGAAAATTCCAGACACAAGAAAGTGACAGTAGTACGGTTCCAGGGAACCAGGGGGTCTCAAAGATGGCGAAGGGATTTGAGGGGACAGATGTGACAAGAGTCATAGATGGGCATAGAGATCTGAGACATAATAAAGGACTAGGAGAGCTCGGATCTGACAAAAGGGACTCAGACATGAGAAGGGGACCCCAGAGGTACCCCTGGACAGGGCTCAGGGTTGCTGGCAGGTCCCCCTCCCGGTGTGACGATCTGTGTGCTCCCCTCGATGAGACTTGAGGGTTCACAAGGGATCTTAGGGAGGTCCCAGGCCCAGTCGGGGAACCCCAGAGAAGCTGGGATTCTGGAAGCACTACCCCACTCCAGCACCCCCCAGAGTGGTCTACGGATCCTGAGCCCCAAAACATGAGCATCCGAGGATCCCGTACGTAGCAGAGGGATGCCACGGGGGCCCTGAGCAGGGCTTAGGGGTTATGGCGACACTCCCCCACCTCGAGTGTGGGCTCCACAGGTCCTGTGACCTAGGGTGTGGCGACGCCAACGTGCCACGGGGACCCCAGAGGAGTCCTGGCTGGGCCGTGAGGTCCCCCGAGCGGCTCCCCAGGCGGTCTGGGGCTGCCGGGGCTGCCCGGGCAGGGCTCAGGCGCGGCGGGCGCCGGGCAGCAGCGCGCTGTCGAACTGGTAGGTGAGCTTGCGCTTCACCTTGCGGATCTCGCCCGTCTTGGCGTAGTTGCGCAGCGCGCGCGCCAGCTTCTGGTAGGTCATGCGCTTGCGGTTGCCCTTCTGCTGGCCCCAGCGGCGCGCCAGCAGCTCCTTGTGCTTGGAGGAGAACTGGAAGACGCCGGCGCCCGGCTCCACCCACCACACGCACTCGCGCATGTCGCCGCGGGTCAGCAGCCCCAGCAGGAACTGGTACAGGCGCAGCTTCTTGCGGGCCCCTGCGGCGGGGTAGGGGGACGCGTTAGAAGGGGGTCCCCAGGCGCCGCCCCCACGCCCTCCCAGCTTCCTTCCACCCCGGCCTCAGTCTCCCCATCCGGAGAAGTGGGGCGAGGGGGGTGCCTGCTGGATACCCCTGACTCTGTGCCCACCCCGCCCCCAGCCCCGCCCCAAGCAAGTCACCCCCTCCCTGCTGCTGTGAGCCCCGGAACTCCACCCCCTCCCGCGCGTCGGTCCGTGGGATTTGCGCCCGCCCCGTCTCCCGCTCTGCGGCCGGCACCGAGGCGCGTGGTCGCTGAGCCCGTGAGTGGAGGAATGCGGCATGGGTTGGCCGCGCTCCTCGAGGCCTCATGTTACTGGCAGCGGAGCTGACCGGCCGCGAACGGATCTGGGGTCGGTTTGAGTCGGCCTGGCCATTTCTCCCGCTCCCGGTCTCCCAGCCGCTCAGCCCAGACGGGACGGGGTCGCTGGAGAGGCTGAGGCGCCTGACTCCTGGGCTCCTGCAAGCAGCAAGGACCCCACAGGGCTTGGGGTTTCAAAGCAGGGCGTTGAGTGCAACAAGAACCTTCTGCCATTTCCCAGCTGTGTGAACTCGGGGTGGTGATGTAGTGAATTCTATCACTTTTTATGTCTTCTCGGCCGCCACTTTAAGCATAAGCTGGACTTTCTCGCACCAGAAGCAGGACTCGGTCGCCCCTGACAGTTTCCAGTTCTACCCACGCTCCCCGCCCCCGCCCCATGGAAGACCGTTGAGTCCCCTAAATGTGGTGGATCCCAGACACCTGCCTTATACAGTTGCCTTCTGGCGACCCCTCCCTATGGGACAGCTCGATGCAGCCTCATGACGGCCCTGCTGGCCCCCATGCCCCACGCCCCAGATAGGGGGGTCTCAGTGGCCACCTCTCAGGCACAGTGTGACCTCGTGGAACTGGAGCCCATTTGCTCTAAACCCACCAATTAAAACTCCCTGCAGGAAACCGGTTTGGATGACACCCTGGACCCCAATAAGGCATTGGCCCACGGGTCGCTCTCTCCCCCTGCCGGTGCTCCCTGGCCTGTGCTGCCTGCGTGTGCGTGGCCTCGGGGAATGCCACGTACCCCTCAAGACCTGTAAGTAATGAAATCTTTATTTCCATGTTGTGTCTCTCCTAATCACTGGGGGGCGCTCTGCATCTAAATTAGAACAGGTGACTTAACCTCTCCGCGTCAGAGTCTCTTCAGCCATAAATGAGGCTGATGGGTGTGCGACTTTTACAAAGCCCTAGGGAGCATTTGGTGCCAGGTGCTTTGCTAGTTGCTATACAGTTGTCCTCCGGGAGGAAGGACCTGACCCATGAGATAGGAGGAGGAGGATGCCCCGCTTACAGAGGGGAAATCGAGGCCCAGATACAGAAAGTCACTCATGACCCTAACTTCTCAGGGTTGCGCATAACGGATGTTGGGCACACGGGCGGAGCAGAGGTTGACTAGTTGGGGGTTGATCTCGTGGTTATTTTTGTTGCCCCCGTGGGGACAATGACGGTGAAGACGCTGACTTTGCTGAGTGCTCGCTCTGTGCCAAGTACTACTGTCCCATCTACACGTGTGACCCCGTCCTATCCTCCCAATGACCTCACCAGGGTAGACACTATCACTGCCATTCCCACTGCACAGACAGGAAACCAAGGCACAGAGAGGTAGAGACACTTGCCCAAGGTCACGCAGCTAGCAGCAGGTGTGGATCTGGGAACTGCCCTCAGCACTCGAGCATACAGTAGGTGCTTGGGAAGCCACGGTTCCTTTAGCCCCCTCCCCATCTCCAGTTGGCGTCCCCACCCCAGCCACTCCCACATACCTGCCTCAGATCCCCTCCCCTCGGGGCCAGTCATGAGGGCCTCGTCCGACTCGCTGTCCGAAACCTCCAGGGCCGGGCTGTCCAGCAGCAGATCTTCCTCCTCCGACAGCACAGGGCTGGGGTACGGGGCGTACGCCGGGGGACCCAGAGTCTGCGGAAGGTCAGGGTCACCTGCGCATCCAGGGTCCCCCTTTTCTCTTTCCACCTCCTCCACTCGGCCCCCCGCTGTGGCCCTCCCTGCTCTGTCCCGACTTTGTGGACAGCGGGGACTCTGTCGTGGCCAGGGGACACCTGAGCCGTGTCTGTGAAAGCCCACCCGACACAGCTAACCCCGGTCTGTGCTGTCCCTTGCTTCATCTCTGCCTCTGCCCACTCGTGCAGGGAGTCATCGCCATACTGGCCCTCGGAGGTGGCTAAAGGGGTTACTAGGGGCACAGTTTTAACACAGGGCCTGGCACCTAGTAAACCTCAATCAGACGACAGGGCTTGTTTTTAACTAGCTCCCTGCCACTCACCTGGCTGGCGAAGTCCTCTGTGGGGTACGCTGGGAGGCCGGGCCCTGCGGCCTCCAGGCTGGGGGCCGTGCCGAGGCTCCCTGTAGAGCTGTAGGCCGAGGGTCCGTAGCACAGCTGGATGGCCTGCGGGTGGCCGAAGGCTGCCGCCGCCGAGTCGAAGGCTTCATAGGGGGCAGCTGGGACAGGTGGGGACCCGGTCCAGTCCCACAGGGGATCTGGGGGAAGGGCACTGAGTCAGAAGCTGGGTGTTCTGACTGAGGCCTCCTCCTCCTTGAAGCCCCCAGCACAGAGAGGCCATTGTGGGTTGTGCAAATATCTGACCCCAGGATTTGCATGGGGGGGCAGCTGGGTGGGAGCGGGAAGGGGAGGAGGTCTGGAGGCCTGGGCTACCCTTATCCCGCTGTGCTAGGTCACGCCCTCCCCTGGGCCTCAGCTCCTCCATCTGTGAAATGGGCCCAAGGCCTGGGTGGGGAAGGGGCCAGAGTCACTCACCAGGAGCCCCGTCTGAGTCGGGGTAGCTGGAGTGCTTGCAGGTGTCCAGGTCATAGAAGACGCCGTCTGGGTACTGATGGGGTCGGGGAGGGAAGAGGGGTCATCCCAGGCTTCGGGGAGCCCCCACCCCCACCCTTGGGAGACTCCGACACAGACAGGGGAGAGAAGGGGCAATGCTGGAGAGAACACAGAGACAGAAAGAGACAGTGAAAGGGAGAGACTCGGAGACTAGGCACGGAGACGTACAGAGGTACAGACAGTAGAGACAGACATGACGCAAGACGGACACACGGCAGCCAGCTCCTGCTGGGCCCACGGGCACCTCGCTGGTGTACAGGCAGCACACACAGCGCCCGGGGAAGGGCTGGGAGGACCCCCCCGGCCCTGCCTGCCTGGGGGGCGGAGGCACAGGGCGAGAGCAGGAGGAGTGTTTGTGCAGAGGCGGGGGCTCAACGCTTCTCAAACCCACCTCCGCGTTTCCTCCACTTGTCCCAAGAATCATGTGTTGCTTTAGCAACTGGGGACAATACCCCATCCCTACGACCCAGCAATCTCACTCCTAGGAATTTTACCCTGGAGAACGGAAAATGTACGTCCACAAAATAGCCTTGTTCAAGAATAATCAGAGAAGCTTGGCGAATAGCCCCCGACTGGAAACAGCCCAGGTGTGCCCATCAGCAGGCGCAGGGGTGCAAACCGCAGCGCCCGGTGGTGGAGCGCGACGCAGCCGGGACACAGAACAAACGCCCGACACACTTCGTGCTGAGCGGAGGCAGCCAGACCCGGGGAACACACTGCAGGACTCACTTTATCTAAAGCTCAAAAACAGGCAACACTAACCGATGGTGGAAATATCGGGTATTGACTGGGAAGGGACATGAGGGAATATTCTGGAATGATGGAAGTGTTCTATGTCTTGATCTGGTTTGTGGCGACACAGGTGTATGTGTAATGTGAAAACTCACTGCAGTGTACTTGGGACTTGTCACTTCACTGACCCGTAAGTTACACCTCAGTTAAAAAACAAAACAAAACTAAACTGGAGGATGGGACGGCTTGGGGGAGGGGTTCTTTGGGCCGGGCCGTCGGGCTTTAGTCCTCAGACGGGTTGTGGGTGCCAGCGTGTTGGGCATGGTATTCTTGTGTCTGAAATATTACAGAGTCAAATGTTTAAAAATACGAAGCAAAAAAGGAGGAAGGGAAAGAAGAGACATGGATGTGCATTTGCGGAACGTGGGGCGGGCAGGGGACAAGACGCACGAAGTCGCGGGAAGCGGACTCAGAGTCTGAGCGTTAGACTGCGCGGCAACGTCTCTCTCTGGGAGGGACGGTAGAAACGTGGCTGCGATGGGACGGGGGCGGCGGGAGATACCAAGGGGGAGTTCCGAAAGACAAAGTGACAGGAAGGGATGGAAGAGGAAACTGAGGCAGGGGGCAAGTGACCTCTCTGAGGGAGGTCACTGGTGGGCCGCCCCTCCCTGGCCCCCAGGGGCCCCGACTCACCAGACAGCTGAAGTGGGGCCCGTCGAGCCTGGAAGGGGAGAGACACAGGGGCATGTCGGGGCTGCCTTCAGCCACCTCAGTCTCCAAGTGGTTGGGGGCTGACGGGAGGTGGCAGCAGCTGTGCCCGCTGCGGCTCTGCAGTCGGGCTTGGCGTCCCTGCGTGAGACCTGCCCCACCACATTCACCCCACTCCCCACCGGGACAGGAAGTGGGGGGCGGGGGCCAGGCAAATGTCCCCCCCGGGATTTGCATACACTCAGGCTGAGGGGGGCAGGGAAAGTGAGGGAGAGAAAGTCCCCGGAGAGGAGGGGGGAGGGGGCCTGGGCCAAGCCGGCCTGGGTGGCAAGTGGGTTAAGTGGGAGGAGAAGGATGGAGAGACGTCTGGGCAGAGACGGGAAACAGGCGAGGGCGAGAGGAGAGGGGTGTGCGGAGACAGCCCCGCACCCAGGCAGAGAGCACCTCTGGAGCCCCGGGGATAGAGAGGTGGGGGGGGGTGAGGGAGGAGAAACAGACGACAGAGAGAGCTGGAAAGAGAGACAGAGACAGAGACAGAGACAGAAACACAGATGCAGCCAGACACGGAGTCAGACTCAGACACGGCGCAGACGACACAGTGAGACCCAGGGAGAGGCAGAGACGGGCAGCGTGGGAGCCACAGAGGCCATCAGCAGAGGGGACAGAAGCAAGTGTCCCAGGGAAATGAGATATTTGGGGGCCAGGAAAGACAGGCATGGGAGGAAAGAGCCTGAGGTGGAGAGGGAAGAGAACCAGTGGGGCAGGGGACAGTGTGGACCCCTCCCCTCCCACCCACCTGCCCTGGGTGGGGCAGAGACCACTGCCCGTGGGTGGGGGGCCGGAGGGGGCTGGGGGTCCTGAGTGCAGGCGAGGGGACCCCACTTACTGTGCAGCCTCCAGGGCGAGCATGGTGGTGCAGGGCTGGAGCTTGCCGCCTGCGGCCGCCACCCTATTTATACCTTGGCCCAGCCCCCTGGGGGGGGCACAGCTCGGCCCTCCTCGAAAATCCCCTCAGGGAGGGGGTCAGGGAAGGGGCTGGATTGCACAACCCCGTGGTCACGTGGCAGGGAGGGCGGGCCAGGGGCTGCCTGGATTTGGGGATCCCCACAGGGGGTGGGGATGGGAGAGGAGCTGGATTGGGAGACCCCAAAAAGCAAAGGGCCAGGGAGGTCAGTGAAGGGGGGAGCAGGAACGGCGGGATCCGGACCCAGGAGCCACATTGCAGCAGGAGGGGCTCGGCTGTGGGCGGGCTGGGGGTGGCAGCAGGACTCCGTCCCTGAGGGACATACAGGTCGGTGTCAGGAGGCAGTGAGGGGCCGTGGGGACGGGCCACAGGGACGAACACGGGGATCGCCAGGGGGTCTCATAAGTGGACAGGGGCTGGGGGAAACCAGACCCGAAGCTGATCACCAGGACCCCGACATGGAAACATCCGTGGGTGTGTGACGTGGCAGGGGGGTCCCCTTGGTCATGCCGGGGAGTGGAAGCCTCCGTGCCAGGGGCTGCCCCAGGGCCTGGAGAAAACGGGTCAGCACCTGGAGGGCGGGGTGGCCCCCGGGGAAGGTGGGCTGGGGCCAGACACCTGGGTGCCCTGCGCAGGGGCAGAGGAGAGCGTGTGTGGAGACATTCGCTCACGGCTACATGGGAGGGGTCAAAAGGGAAACTGAGGCAGGCTTGGCCTGCATGGGCCTGGCAGCAGAAACCTCAGCACTGAGGGGAAGGAAGCCCAGCAGGGGCCTTGGGGGTCTCAGGGGTCTGGTCCGGGCTTATGGGATGCGGCCTTTCCCCCCAAGAGACCACCAAACACCAGGTAGCAAAAGGCCTGAACTTTATTCGTTCTCACCCCCGCCCCAGCCCTCAAGGATGCTTCCAAGGTCACCAGGTCTCAGGGCCTGGGGGCCCGAAGCGCCGCAGAAGCTGCTCCTGGTCCTCCAAGTCCTTCCGCACCTTCTTGCGCATGTAGAAGATGGGACAGTCCCGGCTGTGGCCGGGCGGCGGGGTCAGGCCAGGCCCGTGCCCAGCCCGGGGATGGGGCGGGGGCAGTGAGCACCGTCCCTGGGGCAGGGGCTGTTCCCAGGACTTTGGCCCCTGCCTGCTGCCCACCCGCCTCCCGCGGCAGGCTGTTTGCTCAGTGGGCACGAAGGCGGGGCCGATAACAGCGGGTACCCGGTGAGGAGCGGGCCACGGCCGTATATCACCTGTCACCTGGCGTGGGAACCCGCCCCGCCTGCCCGTTCCCTGGGGAAAGCCCAGCCCCTCCCTGGGGGAGGGGGCCAGGACGGCTGGGTGTGCCATTCCCCAGCAGATACTGGGAGCCCAGCCCTGCTGCCCGGAGCACCCACCTTCTGGGGGGCTGGGATGGGCCCACTTTGCAGGCGAGGACACTGAGGCTCAGGAGGCCTCTCAGCCAGAGGGGAAGGGTGGGGAGGGCGTGCAGGAAGAGACCGTGGAGTGGGAGGTTTGGCCCAGGACCCACAGGCCGGGAGCTGGGAGGGGCGAGGCGGGCCGGCGGGGCACACACCTGGTGCAGATGACATCCTCATGCAGGCTGCCCTGACAGCGCTGGCACTGCGTCCAGAGGCGCGAGAAGCGCTCCTCCAGGGCATTCAGGTGCGACACCTGGGGACAGCAGCGGCTAAGCAGGTGCCGCAGACTCCCCGGCCCCCACCCCCGCGCCCAGCCTCCCGGCCTCTCACCTCCTTCTGATAGAGCTCCGACTCCCGCGGCTGGCAGAACTTGCACACGGCTCCTGGCGGCGGGCGGGGCCGGGTCAGCACGGGGTGCTGGGGCTCAGCCAGGGCCTGGCCACCGCATCCCTGCCCCTTCCCTGCCCACGGCCCATCCCGGCTTCCAAAAGTCCCCGGAGGCCAGAGAACAAGGGAGCCCGTGTGTGGGGAAAACTCCCCTGGGGAACTCCCGGGGCAGGGGCCGAGGACCCTCCTGCGGGGGGTGCAGGCAGAGGGGAGCCCCCACCAGGGGCCCTTGGTGCAGTGCCTGCTTGTGGGGTGGGTGTGGGGCCTGGGGCGACGGGGGGAGACAGCTGGGGCTGCGGCCGGGGGCCGGGTGGCCGGCGGGCGCTCACCCTGGTGGCTGAGCACAGTTCGGCAGCCGATGCAGCAGTCGCGGCGTTTGGCGAAGGCCAGGAGGCCGCCCACCTTGCCCGTGAGCACCGTCTTGCAGCGCGTGTGGTCACCCCCTGCAGGAGGGGAGGGCAGGCGGTGGGCTGGTGCCCTCCCCGGCCAGGGGAGCCCCCCGCCCCCCGGGCCTGCCCTTACGCAACAGCACGGCCTCGGCGCGGCCCTCGCCCAGGATGGGCTCGAAGATGCGCAGCAGCGGCTTGGCGAGCTGCTGCTCCAGGTAGTACTGCGTGTCGATGGGCAGGCTGTGCTCCAGCACGAACAGGGGGTCCTGCGGCCACACGACGCATGTCACCCACCAGGCGGCCGAGGGCAAGGGCCCTGGGAACCACTGGTGGCAGGAGGATGAGAACGTGGGCAGTGCCTGGGCGTGAGCACTGCCCTGCGGGCTGTGACGTGGGCCTGGGTCTGGATGGGGTCAGAGGTCATGGAGGAGTCTCTGAGCCACAGGCTCTGTGACCCATGCTGGGGACCCTCAGGTCACTAAGAAAGGGTCAGAGTTCACAGGGGGAAGCAAGGACAAGGAAGGAGTCGGGGTCAGAGGTCACAGGGCCTAGATGTGGGACACAGGAGTCTGGGTCGGATGGGAGCACTGTGAACCCAGGGAAGTCAGGGCTGGACAGCTGTGTGTACAGCGCAGGGACTGGGGCCTCCTTTCTCTCTTTCTTTTTGTTTTTAGACAGAGTCACGCTCTGTTGCCCGGGCTAGAGTGAGTGCCGTGGCGTCAGCCTAGCTCACTGCAACCCAAAACTACTGGGTTCAAGCGATCCTCCTGCCTCAGCTTCCCAAGTAGCTGGGACTACAGGCACGCACCATGACACCCGGCTGATTTTTCTATTTTTAGTAGAGACGGGGTCTCGCTCTTGCTTAGGCTGGTTTTGAATTCCTGAGCTCAAGCGATCCTCCCGCCTCGGCCTCCCAGAGTGCTAGGATTACAGGCGTGAGCCACCACGCCCGGCCGGGGCCTCCTTTCTAAAGCAGGGAGCAAGGGGTGTCAGAATAACTCCAGAGGGGCTGAGACCCACTCCCGGGGGAGGGCACAGGGGGAGGTTCTCAGGCCCCGAGGGGCCGTGGAGGCACACGCCCCTCCCCGGCGGCCCGCCCATCTTGGAAAGCAGAAGTGAGAGCAGAGGGGCCTGGGAGGGTGCGGGCAGCCCAGGTGGGCCTGACCTCAGACTTCATGTAGGCGGCCACGCCCTTAGCAGCACCGATGATCACGTAGGGGACGCGGTCGCCCAGGTTGGGCGCACTCCCGGGGTCCCGCTTCCTCATCCTGCGTGGAGACCAAGCGGCGGGTGGGTGAGGGCTGGTGGGGGGCGGCATAGGAAGTGGTGGGCCCAGCTGGCAGGAAGGAAGGGCTATTTCTGGACGGCACCGCCCCGCCCGCCCGCGGACCTCTCGGCCAGCTCCACGTGGGCCTGCTTGCCGGCGTAGTCGGCGGCCGCGCGGGTCAGCTCCTTGGTGATGACCAGCTGGGAGATGTCGATGCGGTTGCACAGCAGGTCCGAGATGACTTCCTGCGCGTGGGCCACGGCGCCCTCCGGGTCTCTGTGGGCAAGGTGGGCCGGACAGGCTGGTGTCACCAATGGCCACTGAGGGCCAGGCTGGCACCTCCACTGGTTCCTGGGCTGAGGAGGGTCCTGCCCAGCCACAGGCTGCAAGGCGGCAGAGGCGTGGCCTGAACCCACGGTTGTCCGAGGTGACTCCTCCCATTGCCTCCCCACTGAGGAAGTGCTGGCCTGACACCTGTGTCCCTAGAGGAGGAGGGGCTGGGGGCCTGGACCCCTGGGTCTGAGGGAGGAGGGGCTGGGATGAGGGTCCCACGCACCGGTCTATGAGCAGGCGGCGCAGCGAGGCAGTGACGAGGTTGGCCACTAGGGGGCAGTTGTCCCTGCGCACGGCCTCCAGGCCCTTGCAGTCCATGCGGTCGTGGGCGTCAGGCCGGGAGGAGAAGAGAAGACCCGCATAGCGCTTCTTGCTGATGAGCAGGTAGGGGAAGTAGACCTGGGAGTGACCCGTGGCTGAGACCCCAAGACCGTGGTGTCTGGTCCCCAGTCCTGAGACTCCCTCCAGAAAACGAGGGCAGACAGGGATGGGCCCGGAGTCGCACGATTTGGACGCTTGAGGAGACAAGCCCCGAACCTGGCAGGACGGACCCTGCGACCGCGGCGTGCTGCCGTTAGGTGGCCCCTGAGCACCCTCAGCGCTCCAGGGGCCCCTAGTCTGAGACAGGGACTGGGATCAGCCCAGAGACAGCCCCTGCGACCTGACGTGATGCGATGAGGCTTCCCCTCCAAGGCAGACAAGACTAAGCTCAGCGCAGAGCCGCGAGGCAGAGACTTCCCCAAACCGGAAGGCTCCAAGTCTGAGATCTGGGGCACCCAGAGATGCACGTTTGAACCATGGAGAAAAAAATGCAGCTTGAGGACCCGGCACGGGGCACACGGCTGCAGGCCCAGCTCCTCGGAGCCTGAGTCAGGAGGAGCACTTGGGCTCAGGAGTGCGGGGCTGCAGGGAGCTACGACCACGGCTGGGAGTAGCCGCTGGGCTCTAGCCTGGGCAACACAGCGAGACCCCGTCTCTTAGAAAAAACATAAGTATGGCGTGAGGGCTCCTGGGGCCAAGCCTGACACACCCTGGGAGCTGGGAGGACTGGACCATGGTGCACAATCCAAGATACACCCCCGGCAGGGTCCCCGCTGCTCAGCGCAGGCCCCACATCTGACAGGTGCTGGGAAACCGCAAAACCACGGACTTCGTGACAGGGTTTTC